CGATGCCGCGACCGTCGGGCCCGCCCTCTGTCCGGCCAGGGCGTCTTCGACCGTGATGCCGGCATCGATTCCGCTGAGTCGCGAGCTCCTGCGCCGCCATGGGGCTCGCCTCGTCCTGTCGGGCTCTGCCCCGCCCGAGCCCGAGGCAGCCGCCTGTCGGGTGCCGTTCCGGCGGTCCAGAACCCCGAGCAGCACAGAAGGCATGGCTGCGCACGCTCTGTCCGCTCAGAGGTGCTGAGTCGAGTGTTGTTGCCGCGGGATGGGCCCGGGCTGTGGCGCTTGGAGCGCAAGGTGGCTGTCGTAGACGCTGCCCAACGGTGGCGGAGGTCGGGAAGGTAGGTCTCGGGCTATGCCTTTCTGGCAGCCAGGGGCTTTCGTATCTTGTATCACGGCTGAATAGGCCGAATCGTGTCGCGGCGTGAAGGGGGAGCTTTCGTATGCTCGTCGTCGCGTCTTGCGCGTAACGCTGCGTCCGGTCGGGTCAAGTGGTGGAGAGCCGATGGAGAGCCGATGGAGAGCAGCCTTGGTGGGCGTTAGGTGCGTCGTGAAGGTATGTATGTCGTAGTGGGACGTCGTGGGTGGTTCGTGGGCGTGGTCGTGGTCGCGGTCGCGGTCGTGGTCGTGGTCGTGCTGCTGGTTGTTGGACCGCGGCTGTAGCGTCGAGGTCCGAGACTGGGCGAAAGGGGGCCAAGCTCCCGTATCGATATTCACGTCGTGATCCGTCACAAGGAGAGGGCCGAGCCCGTAGGGGCAAGGCACCGAGCCAGAAGCCTAGGTGCAACACGGATCGTCGGTGGAACAGCGCTCGCGTCGTACTCGACTGCTGGTCGTTGTCTCCGGTCTCGACGGTCCGATCGTCTGCAGAGGGGTCTTGGTATCAGAGAGGGGCGGTGCCTGCCGTGCGTGTGCTGACGACGACGCTGGCTGGGGATGACGGATGAGGTTCGTGAATGACCTGGATCGAGATTCTGGCGTAAGGCTGCCCAGCACGAGGCTAGGGGGACGTCGTTCTGGTCATGCGAGGGCGTGTGCGAGGAGGCGTCGGGCTCGCGTGGAGAGCGAGGCCGTCACGATGTCCGAAGTTCCCCGGATCGTGAGGTGACCGTGCTGTCTTCGGCGTACGACGCGGCGTATCGCTAGGCGGGTCGTCGTCCTTGATCGTGACAGCGGCGGGTGCGAGGATGCCGATACCGCTGCCGTTGGGGCTGGATGACGAGGTGGGGGGAGGATTGACGGTCGGCTCAGAGGCAGCCAGATTAGCAAGAGGGGTCGCAGCGGCGATTCATCCGGTCCGGTCACGAGTTGAGAGCGAAGCGGCTGGAGGAGAGGCTGTCGGTGGCGAAGAACGGAGGAGTCGTGAATGGACAACGGAAGAGTAGGAGGAGGAAGAGGGAAAGGTGGACACGGATAGGGGTGCAAGGAAGAAAGCGGCGAGGTCGACCGGCCGAGATCCTCGACCCTTCATAAAGGAGGAGAATGGGTGGGCGGCGCGGCATGCTGCATAGGCCAGCGCCACGAGCTTCCACGGACGGCCGCCCGCCAAGACGGGATGGCGCGGCCGAGATCGCCGGGCCAAGGTACAGCTCGCTGCTACCTGGCAGCGTATGTAACGTGGGCGGCCCGTACTGCGGTCAGAGAAGCCGGTCTGGTACAGCGAATGCGGTACAAAGCAAGTCAGGCAGCAGGGTGTCACGGCGCAGCCACACGACGGACGAAAGCTCGTATCGCCTGGGTGCAGGTCGGGATGTCCTCGCTCCGCGTCTTGCTTGCTTGCCTGCTTTTGGTCTTCGATGCCGCCGCAAGCCCGGCCGCCGCGTCACCGAGGACGGACAGAAGAAGAGGTGGACGTCGGCATCTCGCCTGTCCAGGTTCCTCGCCAGGCAATCGAGGCCCGTTGCTGCTTTGCTGGTCCAGGCCAGGGAGCAAACAAGCAGCTCGAGGGAAGACGCCCCTACCTAGCCTGCCTGCCTGCTTGGGACAAGCAAAGGAGGGGAAGCGAGGGTTTTTACGTTGGTGGGCGCCACGGCCTTGCCTCGCGGTCGCGGCCAGGACTCAGCTTCCCCCCGACCTGCTAGCGCGGTACATATGCACGAGGTGCCCGACGCTGCAGTCGTGGAAAGGTGCAGGACCGGCCCAGCCCCGAGAAACCACACAGGCAGAGGGGCAGGCAAAAGGAAGAACTGTATGGGCTCATCGTCGCCGTCAACTTTCGGCCGGCCCCTCTGTGCCGCGCCGTAGCCCATCATGCTACCACTATGTTGCCGTTGAGCGCGGCCCAGAGTACTGCTCGTCTGGCGCAGCCCCGACGGTGTTAGTCGAGGCAGCATGGCAGAAAGCAAGGCGAGCAAGAGGAGGGCGGGGTTCCTCAGGCGATGCTCTTGAGGAATCGCGGCGGGCGTGCCTGGCCCTGACCAGCTGGCCTGAGCTTGCTTTTTTTTGCCGGCGTGTGCAGTCGTCGCACCTGTATGTATATGCACAGCAGGCGCTGCAGCGTTGATCCCAAACTTTGTTTGTGCCCAAAAGGGAACGAATATCGCTGACGTAGATGGCTGCAGAGAGAAGGCGAGGCGGAGAAGAGGGGCAAGGGGGGCAAGGGGGGCAAGGGGGGCCGAGAGCGAGGCCGGGGAAGCGAGGCCCTGTGTTACCGTACCTGGGCCCCTTCGCCATCGAGTGGCATGACTTTGGGCGTCCGGCTGCAAGCCACCGACTCTTGCCTTGGCCTCCAGCCACAGTCGACCCGACCCCTGTCCGAGCCGCCTCCTCTTTCGGACGAGGGGGAAGGCGTGTCGAGGGACGACGACGGTGTCGAGAGAGGAACGAGAGCGGCGATGCGGTCGCATCATCGTGTCGCTGTAGCGCTCGAGTCCGACCTTCTCTCGTCGCCATCATGGTCCCGATACGGGTCGCAGGCAAGGCAGGCTCGTGGGCGGGTTGGGCCTTCTTCGCAAGGATCGACGGTGCGCTTGCTCGCCAGCTTGGCCTGCCTGCGCCTGCTTGCTTGTTCCGCCCTCGCCTACCTCCACGTCGCGCGCCCGCAACGTCATCCACCGCCCGCCGCCGCCCCCGCCGCCGAAGTCGACGCCTCCATGTCTCAGGTCCCTTGCAGATGTGACGCCGAGCGGGCAGGCAGGCAGGCAGGCAGGCAGGCAAGAGCCGGACCGGACCTAGCCACCGCGTGGTCGCTGGGACTGGCCAGGCCAGGCCTGGCTTGGCTTCGCCACAGCGTCCGTTGATCCTCACGACAGGCAGGCCGTCGCGCTGGGTAGAGAGCGGTGTGATGTCCTCTATCCGGCCAATCGCTCGGTGTCTTGAGATGCGACAGGGGACTGCCAAAGGGCTTTTCTTTCAGCGCAAGGCCGAGTGAGCAACTGGTGGTGGTCAAGCAGCCCGCCTTGGCTGGACTGGCAACGGTAGGCCGCGGGACTAGAGGACTGGCTGCCCTCCTACAGAGCCTGACCAGGCGAGCCGGAGCGTGAAAGCCGCCCGGCCGCGTCCGCGTCTCATTGTCCTGCGTCTAGCAAAAGATGGTCCATCGCGCTTCCGACCAAGAGAATCGCCGCTGCGCTCAGCGTTGGGCGCTTGCTTGGTGGGCTTCGCTGAGCTCCTGGTCACACTCCGCGCCAAGCTCGAGGTCGCTGCTGCGTGTGGAGCGGTATTCCGACCTACTCTCATCCGTGCGTGCGATATACATGGGCCCTTCCTGCGGCTGACAAAAGGGGCACAGCTGCTCGCAGATCTTTGCATCTCGCCCTAGCGCAAACTAGCTGCGCTGCCGGTGAGCTGGTGCTGCCGGTAGGCTCGAGGCTGCTTGGACTGGCTGCCCGCCTGGCTGAACCTTGATCATGCAAGCCTACATCCGCTCTGCAGACGATGCCACCGCTGGCTGTCCGTGCTTCGATCGACCATGCAGCACGTGCATATATATGCTATATGGCCGTTTTTTTGCGGTTGGCGGCCTGATCCACACGACGCCGAAGGTAGCGACTCGCGTCGCCGCTTTGGATCGTTGCGCTCGCGGTTCTCCACAGTCTCTGGTCGCGAGAGCGCTTGGCGGCAGGCTGCAGATCAGAGAGACGGGCAAAAGGCTGGACCGACGCAGCGATAGGCAGGCAGGCAGCATGCATCGCAAGGGAAGCATCGAACCTTCGAACGCCCTCCTGACAAACAACGTTGGCGCGACCTAGTCGCCTGCCTGCATCTGGTCAGACCCAGGTTCACGCACGCAAGCCTCGACCGCGCGGCTCACCAGCTGCGGGTTCAAACGCGACGGCAAGGCGCGACGGCAGAGGCTGCCGTCGCGTTCATCGAGGACATGTTGCCTCGATCTGGTGCGCGAGGGCCGGGTGGGACGCAGAGAAGCCCCTGGCTGTGCTTCCCTGATCGTCCGAAGATGTTCGCGAGGATGTGGAAGCCTGGGCTGCTCCTGCGCGAGCACCAAACCCGCGTTTGGATCATGGCCTCTGCGGAACACCGTTGCCATCATGGGCTCAGATGCCAAGCATGGAGCCGTTGCGACGAAGAAGGCGCCGGGGCATGGAGCAGTCATGGAAGGCGGGAGCAGAACGAAGAGGGAAGGTGACGACAGCGTACGCCGCTTCAGACATCGAAGGCGACCGGGGTCAGCCGCAGCGTCCAGCGAGCGGACCGAGGCGAGCGGGACCATGCCGCTACGCAGCCAGATCATCCAGCGAGACGCTCTGTTTCTGCCTAAATTCTTGCTTCGAAGCGGCACATGCCAAGGTGCTCGGCCTGTCAGACCGTCGCAGATTCATGACGCAAGCGCTGGCTGCAGAGCTGTTGGGACGCGTCCTAAAGGGCAAGAAGAGGTCGTCAAGGAGCGAGCGGCGGAGGCAGAGTTGCATCGTCGGCAGAGGTAGAGGCTAGGGCCGCAGCGATGTTGGGCGGGTGATCTCTTCTATTACAGCGTGCGCTGGCTTGGGCCTGGATTGCACCGTCTATGGGTACGCTCACTGAGCTGCAGCGAGCCATTTGCTGGCGCGGCACTCAAGAAGCGAACGTGCTGGGCCACCCGGCTTGAGCGCCGAAGCAGTCCGCCGTCTCATAGGCCAGACGCAGGCCGAGCTACGCCGTATCATCCTCTCTCGAGGAGGGAGGCGTTCCGGCGGGCTGGTCGGGAGGAGCAGGATCTGCCAGCATCGAGGCGGATCCCTCCCGTTGCTGCTGCGGGCAGCGGGCAGCGTGGTAGCAGGCAGAGCAGGCGCGGTAACGCCAGCTTCAACGGCGTACGTCGGTCTGTGCGTGATGCGCATGGGGTGATGCCAGCTTCCGTCGCCGGGATAGTCGTCCCCACCATTCGGGTATGCCGAATGGCGTGGGTTCCGGCTGACGCGCCTCCCCAGACAAGGCAGGCAGGCTAGGCTAGGGCGAGTTCCGCATGCTGGGGCTGGTTTACCCGCCTCTCTCTTCTGTGGCGTGAGCTCAGGCGCCGGTACATGCCGCCGAGCCCGCCGAGCCCGGACCGATGCACATACATATGGGGCCGCGATAGCGTGGGCACGCATTCGGAAATGCGTTTTCGAGCCTCGACTCTGTTGATGTCCCGCCTCCTGGAAAGCGGCACGAGCGGCCATTCTCAGTCCGCGCACCTCCTCGCCGGCGGGGCCGTACTTCTGGTTCCCACGCCTACGGCTGACGCCGCGTCCAAGGACAGCGCATGGCCCCGACCTGGGCTTTGCAAGACCGTAGGCAGTCTCGCTTACGGGCCGAGCGCGGAAGGATACCGAACCGGGCGAAAACAGGCCGGGATCGCCACGAGTAAGCGCGAACGTCGCATCGGCAGTCGACTGCGTCCGCTGGCGGGCGATTGAGCAGAACGCACACGTTGATGTCGCCTTACGATGGAAAGAGGCGCCTCTTGGAGGCGGCCTCCGCGAGAGCTCGTTCCCTCATCCCCTTTAATCTGCGAGGCTGGCTCTGGCTCCTCTCGCCGACATGACGCGCCCACTTTCTTTCCGCCTCATAACGGGCACGGTCCGAGCCGACAAGCTGCGGTTGTTTCAGCCCGAGCATCCGTCTGGAACCTTAAACCTTCCATCTTGGCCATCCGGAGCTCCTCTCCCTCACCTGCCTGCCTGCCCGCCCGCCTTTCTGCACCCACGCTCCCCCATGCGTTTGAGCTTGGGTGCGGCGCTGGGCTGAGGGCGACCGGCACGCTTCGCCCTAGCCATCGCGCGCAGGTCGTCGCCGTCTCGGAGCGGGCGTCTGCCCCAGCCAACTCGTTCCAGGGGATGGGCGAGCCTGGTCGCCGCGGAAGTTCCGCGGACGGTAGCTGGAATTGAGAAGCTAAGGTTGGGGCAAGGAAAGCATGCGGTGCGGAGCGGCAACGGCAAGGGCGGCCCATCGGCAACCCTTTCATCCCCAGTCTCGGTCGCTGAAAGCCTATAAAGGGAAGCGGGAAGTTGGGCTTGCCCGCAGCCCTGCTCCGTGGCTGCTGTCTACCTTGCTCCTTCATATCACCATACCGTAGTTCGCTCACCTCGCGCTTGACGACCCACGCCCGACCGCACTCTCCACGCTTCATTTCCCCTCCTATTCCTCACGGGGCTCTCGCCCGCCCGCCAACCCGGGCTCCTGCCCCAGCCTATCTTATGGTCTTTATTGTCACCGGTAAGTAGACAGCCGGTCCCGTTCCGCTGCCCTGCCGCGCCCCTTACGAGACGGAGTGCCTCGAGCTTCGAGTCGGGCAGAGCATGCTGCTGTAGGTCGCCTTGCATGCAGATCGCCGCTGACGCCGCGCTCCTTGGACGGCCTGAAATTCAGCAGCACCGCTCATCTCATAGGCCGACCAGCTCGTCACAGGATCTCACCAAGGAGAGCTCGATCGCAGGGCAGTATCCCGCCGACCAAGTCTCTCGCTACCGCCAGCATCGACCAGCGAAGAGTACGGAGCCCTTCCTTCGCGATCGCACCACGACCTCAACCATCGCGCACATGGCTGGACTGGGCCAGCCCGTCAGGGCGCTTGGACGCGAGTTGCTGCCCCTCTACAGCTCCGGCCACGCCGACGACCAGGCCAACCAGCATGCAGACCCGCGGTCGAGGTACGCTGCACTTCTATCCGACCCGCCATCGATCCCAGAGCTGGAGCGCTACCTCGCTCGTCTCAAGATGGGCCACATCGTCTGCCAGCCCACCGACCGCTACCGACCCACGGACCGATTTGCAGCAGATCGTTGCCTCCACCCCAACAGATTCTCACCGTCAGCGGAGCACGACGTCCTCGATCAGCTGAAGCAGCAGCCTATGGACCCCAACCTGCCCGGCAGCATGTCGACCATCTTTGAGCAGCAGGAGGCCACCAACGCATGGTATCGCGACTGGCGCCCGACGGCGGTGGATGCCGACAGTCAGCTCCCTCCGCAGGAGCTACAGGCGCTCGGTAGCCGAGACCGCAGCCGCGACTTCGTCCTCGATGAGCGCTCAGTCCCGAGAGGCATGACCCGCGAAGGGCTTCCGACGCAGCCTCCGGCCGTCGACAGTGAGGCCGAGAAGCTGCCGAAAGGCCGAGAGGACTCGTGGCAGCAGCAGAGGGCATCGAGGCCCTGGTCTGCTCCCGGTTGGGGTCTCAACGAGAGGGATCACCTCTGGCTCGAGCAGGCAGCGTCTCCGTCGCATCCGGCACATCAAAGGCCGTTCGACCGAGCGGATGCCACCTTTGGTGTCGGCCGGGACGATGGTCCACCTTCGCCCTCCTCGTCCTCTGCTCACTTCCTGGGCAGGGACAATGCTCTTGGTCTGACCTTCGCTCCCTTTGAGCTGGCAAGTGCTCCTCGCGCTGTCGAGGAAGAGGCTGCGCACCAGCGCGCACGAAGCCGATCGAACCCGGTGACGGCCTAGGGCCGCCGCCTCCTCTCGACGGCCACCTCGGAGTCGCTGGCGCTGCGCAGCCTGGAGCACGTCAGCGCTGGCCACAGCTTCTCGACACTCTTCTCGGGACTGCACCTCGACGACCCCAACGCCCTCGTGCCCGCCGGCAACGGCGGGGCCTCGACCCACGTGCTCAACCAGGCCGGCCTCTTCCGCGCTCCGTACGGACCCAGCCCCAACAACAAGAAGGTGGACCTGTACAAGACCGAGCTGTGCAGGCAGTGGGAGGAGAAGGGATGGTGCGACTACAAGGAGTGAGTGGGCGCGCGAGGGCATGGCTAAGCGCGTGGCGACGAGAGGAGGCGTGAGAAGCTAACATCGCCATCACCATCCTCGCCGCTTGCAGGCGCTGCCAGTTCGCCCACGGACCGCTCGAGCTGCGCCCCATCCAGCGGCATCCGCTGTACAAGACCCAGGTGTGCAAGGCCTTTGTCGAGTGAGTGCGGCTTTCGAGGGACGGCATGGCCGCGCAATGGAGCGCGTGGATGGCCTGCCTAGCTGATCGCCACGCCCGACGTCGTTGCCACCCACATCCTGCTCCCATCTCGCACCGCGCAGGACGGGTCATTGCCAGTACGGCCGACGCTGCACGTAAGTCCTGGCCGTCTTTCTCGCTCAGCCCCGTCTCGCAGCGAGGGCCCGACTGAAGCGAGACGGCCTTGCCAACCCCCGCCCCTCGCAGCTTCCGCCACGACCTCTCACCCTCGACGCACCCGCAACACGCCTCGCCGGAGCACGACAAGCCGCTACTGGCGCGACTGGGCCGCGCGTCGGAGCCGACGCCCTCGGGCGCGTACATGCGAGACGGCGGCAACAGCCGCAAGTCGTCGATCTCAATCGGCAGCACCTCGTCGTCGTCGCGCCTCTCTTCCACCTTGACGGCACCGACCACGGCGGGCGCCGCCGTCGCTGGCAGTCTCGGCTCGGCGTCGGCTGCAGACGTCTACAGCCGTCGCACGTCGGTCTCTTCGGCCTCGCGCGGCGGAGGCGGAGGCGGAGGCGGAGGCGGAGCAGGCCGTACCGACGAGGTCGACGCCAAACGCTGAGGACGCGGCGCCGGCAACCCGGACCGGACCGGACCGAAACGGACGCGCCGGAAGAGAGACAAGGACTGAATACACAGGACAAGAAACGTGGAGAAGGGACGAGATCAATCCATGCTCCCGATTGCACCACACCGACCGCCTCCCAAGCCGAAGCCACCGGACTCGCCGCCATCGACTGGCGGCAAAGTGAGCTTCGCTTCGTTACAGCCGCAGCCGTAGTCAAAGACGCGATCGCAGACATTGCCTGAAAATGTACAGCCAGATCAGAAGCGAAAATCAAGGCATCGTCGGGTCGTGCTCTCTTCGTCCGGGGGGACTTTGCAGGTTGTCACTCGAGCTCTCCAGGCCTTCATGCGTGTCCCTGTGCCGTACCGACCGATTCGCCGAGCTGTACAAAAGCCCGCTACGACGACGACGACGACGACGACGAAGATAGGATCCTCGCCTTTGGCAAAGGCGCCGACGGGCCAGCGACTACATCCAGTCGCGATCGGTGACGATTTCCGACTGGTTGGTCATGGTGCTCGCGTCGCGGACGAGGGGCATGGCGCGGGGCAAGACGAATTTCTCGTCGTACTCGTGCATGACCTCGGCCGCGAGGAGGATGCGGTCCTTGACGAGGGCGGCGTAGGTGCGGGCGAGGAGGTGGATCTGGAAGCTGAAAAGGGACATGAGCGCCAGGCCCATGATCCACGTCAGCGCGCCCGTGATGCCGAACAGGCCCGAGTTTGAGTACCACAGCGCGTGGGCGGGTGAGTAGATGCTGCAAGAGCGACGGGCGGATGAGGAGCGGGAGTGTGAGCCGGAGCGGATATCAGTACGAGTCCAGAGCAGATGGCAACGACGGACCGACAGAGGGTAGGACCAGGGGCTGGGCAACGGCCGCTCACCTGAAGATACGCAGGGGAACCTCGGGAGCCTGCCAGACGTTGAGCTCGTGCACCTTGATCTCGTCGATGGGCGTCGGAGGCCTCTCCTCGGCGGCGGGAACGAACCAGCCGATGACGGGAATACCTCGCAGCAAATCGATCGTCGCGTTTCTGTGTTCCCGCAGAAGCAGGGACCGAAAATGGTCGAAGCATTAGCGTGACCTTCCGGCGTCGTCCAAGGGAAGGGGTGGGTCGCCATGCCGGCACTCACGTCAGGCGCTCCTGAAGGCTCGGCTTCTCTTCCTCGTCGTCGATGTATGTGGGAACCAGGCGAGAATTTTCGCTTCGGATCTTGTCCTGTCGGAGGCAAGGTCAGTGCGAGTCAGAGCAGTGCGTGGCTGGTTAGACCTCATGCCCGTTGTTCGACCGTCCAGCTGAGTCGCACGCACCTTTTCGGTCCTCATCCAGAGGCGATAGGCCCTTCGACTCGAGAAGAGGAAGTATGCGTTGTAGCAGGCGATGGTTACAAGCGCAAGCGACATGGCGATCGACTGATGACGAGCGGGCAAAAGGAGGATCAAGATCAGCCCAAATCCGGAAGGAGACAGGCGCGGTCTACCGGACCATCCTTCTGAGTCCACTCACCACCCATCGAAGCCAAGCCTCGGCCTGGCCCTGCGCCAGGTTGCGCGCCTGTTGAGATCTCGCCGAGCCGTGGGCGCCGCCCCGGAAGGCGCTGGTGCTTGCGCCGACTCCGTCACCGAATGCGCGCGAGCGGCCGGACGATTTTGCCACCACGCTGAGCGAAGAGTCCGGCGAGACGAGGTGGCTGAGGAGCGAGAGGGCATGCAGTGCAAAGCCGATGGGATAGCCGAACGCGGGGTCGTGGACGACGTCTCCGATGTCCTGCAGCCGGGACTGGGCATCGTAGTACCAGTCGACGGGGGCTGTCTTGAGTCTGCGGGAGGAGGCCCAAAAGGGGGAAGACAGGATGTCAGCAGACGTCTCGTAGAGCTCAAGGATACAAAGGCAGAGGACGGCCGCAGGCTCACCTTTCGCCCAACGACTTGCGCCTGACGAATGCCTTGCTGGTCCGGGGCTTCTTGGTCGGAGACGCCAGTGAAGACGAACTTGAGGCGTCAATCGAGGGTCTCGAGAGACGGGATGGGATGGGTTGAGCAGGGCTGCTGCTGCGCGAAGCCTCGTAGCCGGAGCGCGGGGTGCCCATGTGGGCCTTGAGGCCGGGGCTACCGAAGCCGGCGTTTCGGCGGAAGACGGGGCTGCTGGCGGCATCGTCCGGGGTCGAGAGGCCGCCGTCGTAATAGGTCGATGTGCGAATGGGCGTGGACCCGCCGAGTGTAGAGCGGCGGCTGGGCGAGCTCGAGTAGAGCTGGTAGGGGGTGGACATGGATTTTGAGAGGCCAGAGGGGGTCGAGAGGTGGGAGCCCAAGGAGCTGCGGGGCTGGTACTGCCTGCGCGAGGCGGGCGTGAAGTTGGACGACATGGCCGGGCCGCGGGGAGAGGGCGGGCGTTGCTGCGCTGTTGCGGTGGCGGTGGCGGTGGCTGGTGGTGGTGGTGGTGGTGGTGGTGGTGGAAGGTGGCAAGGGGCCTGGGTGGAAGAGAATAGGGTCGAGGACCGAGGACCGAGGGGCGGGCGAGGTGTTGGACTCGGGTCGAAGGAGGCTGTCCCGCCTGGAAGAGTCGCTGCTGAGCGGCCGGACCATCAGGCCAGGCCAACCAACACCTGCCCGGCCTGCCTGCCCGCCTGCCTGCCTGACTGAAGCGCGAGCGAGCAGCTTGGCCTTCCCCACCCTGGCCCCACCTTGGCCCCACCTTGGCCTGGCCTGGCCTGCGTGGCTGCGAGCGGGCGGAGCTCCACACGCGCTCTCCCGATTGGATCCAAAAAACCAAAATTGTAGCAATCGGTTGATCTGCCCGATCCATTGCTTTTTGACCGCAGTCTTTTTGCCCAGACAGAGCGGTCGGCCCAGCCTGCCAGGCCGAGCCAGGGCCAGAAATTTTTCAGGGCGCTCGAGGGGCTGCCCCTGGCTGCCTGCTGGCCGGCTGGCTGGCTACAAAAGGCGAGCCGACCCCCGTTCCCGCCTGTTTCCCCTTCTTCTCTCGAACAAAAATCCACGAAGGTGAGCCATCGCAAGGTCGACCTGGTGGCCCGGCCCGGCCCTGGTCCGCCATCGCTGCGCTCGCTCGCCCCACGCCCCATGGCCACCTATCCGCCCAGCCGCTCACCGCCTCGCTGGCTGCTCTCGATCCGCCTCCCCCGCCTTCTCAGACACAAAAGTTCGGACCTGGACCTTCTCCTCCGTGCCAGGTTCGCGTTCCCGTCTTCAAGACTTCGAAAGGCCCGCGCTCCGCCAATTGGGGGGCGTGGGCCCATCGCCGCATCCCTCGTGGTGCGAGGGGGGCTCGTCCCTCCTTTCAGCGATGGGTCAGTTTTGTTTGGCGCTGAATCCGGCTAGGCCCTCTGCTCCGTCGACGTCGGCCCTCGGGCCTTCGGAGGTCACTGGTCGCGTTCTCCGGAGGATGCTCGGTGAGCCCTTCTCCCTCGGGGGATTGGGATCCCGACGCTTGTCCCAGGATATCGGCGCACCAGGAGGAGCAGTGGGTCGACTGCCAGTCGGAAGCCCACCTGACCGACATCCCCCTCAACGCCGCCGCTGTCTGACCTTGCCCCTTTGCGACAAGGGATGCGAGGGCAGCGGCCATCCCAAACCAGGTGAGTCTTTTCCTTGTCGCCGACAGTGATAGCGGCAGCAGCAGCAGCAGCGACGACACCACCAGCGACGACCCGACTACCGGCGATCGCGGCTTCAGCGACGCGCGCGCGTGAGAGCGGTCCGGAGAGAGAGAGAGAGAGGTCGCGTCGAGGCGTTCCCGGCGACGTTCGCCATCGTGCAAAGGCGGGGGCCCTGATGAGACCAAAGTGTCGCCCCAAACTGCAACCGCATTGCTGATCGACTATCACATAAGCCAAACCAAAAATGTACCACTGAGCCCACCTTTGCACGCCGCCGATGGCCGACGCCGACGACGACGGCGACGATGATGGATCGCCTCGCACCTCTCGACCCCTCGCCCTCTCTCGCGCACGCGCTTTGCCTGCCGCCGTCGTGGTTCGAGCGTTGCTGCTCGCTCGGTCGGCCGTCGCTGCGCTGCGTTGCGCCGTCAGGGAACCGAGGACGTGGTTGGCTGACCCCTGTCTCGTCATTTCTTTGTCCGCTCGTTGCTTTGCAGATCGTCGACGTCCTCCATCCCATGCGCCGCTCTTGTATACCATTCCTGTTGCGATACCCCGACTGCCCGGTCGAAAGCGATATCTGCTGCCCCATGCGATCCTCTCCTGTGTGTTGTCGCCGTGTCTGCCGAGCTGGCGCTTTGAATCCGAGGTCGAGGCGAGACTGGGCAGTAGTAGTGTGCTTCCAGGCTACGAGTCTGCTCGAGGCGCCTTTACCGTGCGAGAAGAGCGACGCGCGCGGGCGCTGGTCGCGTAGAGAGATCAAGATTCATCAACGCGAAAGGGCGACGGCGCGCGCGCGCCTTCCTGCTGGTCGGCAGCCGGCCTGAGCCAGGCAGGCGGGCAGGAGTGGAAAGAGACAGGCGTGCAGCCAGAGAGGTACGGTGAGAGCGAGGCGCGGGCACGCAGACCAACGGCAGACGCAGACGCAGACGGGCAGAAAAGTGGGCAGATGGATCAACGAGGAAGGGGCCAGCCCAACACAAAGCACACTTCCGCACCCCCAGGGCCCTCCTCCAACGCCGCCCTCCGCTCGCCACCACGACTGCCATCATCTCTTGGACATCTTCACCTGTGCCTCGCTACCGCCTCCCCCTCGCACCAACTTCACACAGCCCCTCGCTCTCCTCGCGGCAACTGCACGGATCCCCCGGCGGCCAACGCGAGCCAAGCCGACCTCGGCCCACCATGGCCTCTTCATCCTCCGACATGCCGTCCTCGCCCCTGGCGCGAGCGGCCAACGCTTCCACATCGGCCAACCGGCTCGATCCTCTCGCATTCGGCCGGCCCTCGACGACCATCTCGGACCCCTCGGCACAACGCACGTTCTCGGCCACCACATCCGAGGCCGGCTCCATCGGCGGCGCTGGACGCTACCGCGGCGCCATGGGCAGCAGCGGCGGCGGTGGCGGCGACGACGATGACGACGACGACGACACCAGCACCGTCGCAGGAGGGCTGGGGCGGCAGGCCATGGACGAAGATGCCACCCCGAAGCGGCCGCGGCCCAGGAACCTCCAGAACCAGGAGGACGTCGCACCCGTCGTCGACGAGGTCGGAGAGAGGGTGCGCGAGGGCTTTGCCCAGTTCCTCGAGAGCTTCGTCGACCAGCCCCTCTCTGGCTCCCCCGACCCAGACGGCGAAAAGGCCCAGGACCCCATCTACATTGACCAGATCATGGCGCTCCGCGACTACGGCAGGACCACCCTCTTTGTCGACTTCAGCCACGTCCTGCGCCACGACGACGTCCTCGCCCGTGCCGTCAGCGATCAGTACTACCGGTGAGTCGAAAGCTGACTGCACGCACGACGTTGGCCGCTCCTCGTTCTGACCCCCGGCATCGCCTCCGCCAAACTCCCACCGTTTCCCCGTCCTCGTCCCCGCCAGCTTCCAGCCCTACATCCGCCGAGCGCTGCTGGACCTCGTCAACACCTACATCCCCAACTACCTCTACCTCAACGCGCACGTCGCCTCGACGGCATCGTCGGGCCTGGTGCCGCGCGACTTCAGCGTGTCCTTCTACAACCTGGGCCTGGTCTCGGGCATCCGCGACCTGCGCACCGACCGCGTTGGGCGGCTGGTGTCGATCAGCGGCACCGTGACGCGCACCAGCGAGGTGCGGCCGGAGCTCCTGTACGGCGCCTTCACGTGCGGCGAGTGCAAGAACACGGCGCGCGACGTCGAGCAGCAGTTCAAGTACACGGAGCCGATCATGTGCCGCAACCCGCTGTGCCAGAACCGGCGCGACTGGCAGCTCAACGTCGACCAGAGCCGCTTCTGCGACTGGCAAAAGGTGCGCATCCAGGAGAACGCCAACGAGATCCCGACGGGCAGCATGCCGCGCAGCCTCGACGTCATCCTCCGCTCCGAGATTGTCGAGCGCGCAAAGGCCGGCGACAAGTGCATCTTCACGGGCACCTTTATCGTGGTGCCCGACGTGTCGCAGCTCGGCGTGCCGGGCGTCAATGCGCAGATGCAGCGCGAGTCGCAGGGCGGGCGGCCCGCCGAGGGCGTCAGCAACCAGGGCGTCAGCGGCCTCAAGAGCCTCGGCGTGCGCGACCTCACCTACAAGACGGCGTTCCTGGCGTGCATGGTGCAGAGCGCCGACGCCCGCGGCGACATCCGCGGCGGCGAGGCGGGCGACGAGGCCGAGGACCCCGAGACGCTCATGGACTCGCTGACCGAGGCCGAGCGCGACGAGCTCGAGGCCATGGTCATGTCTGACGACATCTACAGCCGGTTGGTGCACTCGATCGCGCCCACCGTCTACGGCCACGACATTGTCAAGAAGGGCATCCTGCTCCAGCTCATGGGCGGCGTGCACAAGCAGACGCGCGAGGGCATCCACCTGCGCGGCGACATCAACATCTGCATCGTGGGCGACCCGTCGACGAGCAAGTCGCAGTTTCTCAAGTACGTGTGCGGCTTCCTGCCGCGCGCCGTCTACACGTCGGGCAAGGCGTCGTCGGCGGCGGGCCTGACGGCGGCCGTGGTGCGCGACGAGGAGACGGGCGAGTTTACGATCGAGGCGGGCGCGCTGATGCTGGCCGACAACGGCATCTGCGCCATCGACGAGTTTGACAAGATGGACGTGTCGGACCAGGTCGCCATCCACGAGGCCATGGAGCAGCAGACGATCTCGATTGCCAAGGCGGGCATCCAGGCCACGCTCAACGCCCGCACCTCGATCCTGGCGGCGGCCAACCCGGTGGGCGGGCGCTACAACCGCAAGCAGACGCTGCGCGCCAACGTGGCCATGTCGGCGCCCATCATGTCGAGGTTCGACCTGTTCTTTGTCGTGCTCGACGAGTGCAACGAGAGCGTCGACATGAACATCGCGCAGCACATTGTCAACGTGCACCGCTTCCGCGACGCCGCCATCGACCCCGAGTTCAGCACCGAGGCCATCCAGCGCTACATTCGGTACGCGCGCACGTTTGAGCCCAAGCTGACGCCCGAGGCGTCGGACGTGCTCGTGGAAAAGTACCGGCTGCTGCGCCAGGACGACGGCGGGGCGGGCAAGAACTCGTACCGCATCACGGTGCGCCAGCTGGAGAGCATGATCCGGCTGTGCGAGGCCATCGCGCGCGCCAACTGCCGCCACGAGATTACGCCGGCGTTTGTGCGCGAGGCCTACTCGCTGCTGCGCCAGAGCATCATCCACGTCGAGAAGGACGACATCGACTTTGACGACGATGACGATGACGAAGACGGACAGGACGGCGAAGGAGGGGCGAACGCTGCGAGACGACGTGCTGGTGCCGGCGCAGAAGACCAGGCAGCAGCCGCAGCGGATCCGTCGTCGTCGCTCGGCATGGACCAGGACTCGATGGACGCCACCATGGACCTGGGAGGTGGAGCCGACGCCGCCGCCGCCGGCCGATCCTCTTTGACTGGACCAGCACCACCGACGACGGGGAGCGGCACGACGACGAAGCGCAAGATCCGCATCCCGTACGACCGGTACATGGAGATTGCCAACCTCATCGTGCTGCGCGTGTCGGAGGTGGAGCGGTCGACGATGACGGGCATAGCGCGGTCGGAGCTGGTCGAGTGGTACCTGCTTCAGCGCGAGGAGGACATCGAGTCGGTGCAGATGCTCGAAGACGAGACCGAGCTCATCCACAAGGTCCTCGCTCGACTCGTCAAGGACAACTGGCTCATCAGCGTCCGTACCGGGACTGGTTCCTCTGCCGGTGGCGGTCTTACCGACGAGGATGGGGGAGAGGGAGGCGAGGGAGGCGAGGTATTGATGGTTCATCCCCAGATCGACGTCGATAGTCTTGGAAGCGTACCGTTGTCGTAGATGCCCTCTCGTCGTCCATCCCCCCCCTGCCCACGCTCTACCTCCCTCCCCCTGTCCCTCCTGCCTCTGCCTCTCTATCTTTTTCGGTCGGTCGGTCCCATCGTCGTGTCGTCACTGCCCTTGTATCCTCTTCCTCTTCCTCGTCCTGGTCCTCGAAGTCCTCAACCCCGTCCCTCTTCTGCCGCTGCTACGTTCTATCGCTGCTCCCCGACCCCTCCCGGTCTCTCACCTAGCTGACTCTTGGGGATCCGTTGCAGAAATCAAAGACTTGTCCACCAACCCGCCCGCTCGCGCGCCCCTCGAACGTGCCCCGCCACTCGCTGCAGGACAGCACCTCACGACCGCGACGACTGCGCGCGGTGCTTGCTACACTTCGGCGTCGAGGGGGAATGCCGCTGGGTTTCTATGAGATGGATCTTGGGTCATTGGCAGGGCGAAAACAGGTCGGTTTCATATGCACAGAGATAGACAGGGAGAGACAGAAATAGAGAAAGGGCGGGGGGGATTTCCCGTCGCCAGCTCTCTCCCCAAAGGGGCCGACCGGGGGGCCGGCTCAGAGGGCACCCTTCTGGGCGCTCTCGACTGCCTTTGCGGCGGCCTCGTCGAGGCCGTCAAACGAGTAGATCTTGAGGTTCGAGTTGCGGATGAGCTCCTTTGCCTCCTTTTCGTGGGTGCCCTGCAGGCGGACGACGAGGGGGATCGACATCTCGAGCTCCTTTGTGGCCTGGATGATGCCCTCGGCAATCTTCTTGCAGCTGACGATGCCGCCAAAGATGTTGACAAAGATGCCGCGGACGTCCTTGGAGTTGAGGAGCAGCTCAAACGCCTTTTTGACCGAGGCGGCCGAGGCGGTGCCGCCGACGTCGAGGAAGTTGGCCGGGTTGCCGCCGTTGAGCTTGAGCACGTCCATGGTGGCCATGGCCAGGCCGGCGCCGTTGACGAGGCAGCCAATGTTGCCGTCGAGCTTGATAAAGTTGAGGCCGTACTTGGCCGCCTCGACCTCGTCGGGGTCCTCCTGGGTCGTGTCGCGCTTGCTGAAGATGTCCTGCTGCCTAAAGTCGGCGTTTTCGTCGAATCCGAGCTTGGCGTCCATGCAGAGCACCTCGCCGTCCTTGGACTCGGCGAGCGGGTTGATCTCGACCTGGGTGGCGTCCTTCTCGCGGAAGAGGTTGTAGAGCTTGATAAAGGTGTCGGCCGCCTGGTCCTCCTGCTTCTCCGAGGTGAAGCCGAGCTTCTTTGCGATGCCGACGGCGTCCTGCTTGGAGAGGCCCTTTTCAAAGTCGATGGGCGTGGTGATGATGGCGTCCGGGTTCTCGGCGGCCACCTCCTCGATCGACATGCCGCCCTGGTTGGAGGCGATGAGGACGGGCAGCTGGGTGGCGCGGTCGTTGAGGACGGCGACGTAGTACTCGTGGTGCGGCGGCCGGGCCTCTGCGAGCATGACGGCGTTGCAGATGCGGCCGGCGGCGCCCGTCTGCTTGGTGATGAGCTTGTTGCCAATCATCTTTGCGGCGAGGTCGCGCGCCTCCTCGGGCGTCTTGATGAGGTGGACGCCGCCCTGGAGACCCGAGTCAAAGTGGCCCTTGCCGCGTCCGCCGGCGAGGACCTGGGCCTTGATGACCATCTGCTTTCCGTTGAACGACTGGGCGGCCTTGAAGGCGTCGTCGGCCGAGGTGGCGGCGATGGAGCGCGGTGTCTTGATGCCGTAGCTGTTGAGGATCTCCATGGACTGATGCTCGTGGAGCGAGAGGAAGCGCTTCTGTGCGGCGGCCTGGCCGCCCTTGACGAGGGTGCGGGCCACGCTGGCGCGGGTGCGGAGGGTGTTGAAGATCATGGCGGGCGGGTGCGACGAGGAAGGCGAGGCGGGCGAGGACGCTGAAGGGGGGAGGGAGTTTGCGGGTAAGAGAGGGAAGGGGGGACGGGTTGGGAGGGAGTGGTGGTGGTGTCGGTGTCGGTGATGGTGGTGAGCGTGGTGGAGACCAGCAGGATGCACGGCGTTGGTTGGAAGAAGGGGCGCGTCGGGGCAGTCCAGTTGGGCCTGGCAAAACCGGCGAGTGCCGATGATGCTAGGGTTGGGCCAGCCAGGGTAGGGCTTGGCCTCGGCCTGGCTGGGCTGGCTGGCTTGGCTCGAGTGTGGCCGATGTGGCCCGCCGCGGAGGCAAAGGGCCGACGGGCATCAAGAAGGCACGGCTCTCTCCGTTGCGCCCGATCACGCTCGCCCCCCCCCCCCCCCCGCGCTCTTTGCCTCTCTGCCTCTTCGCCTCTTCTCGCACGGAGGCCGAGGCGCAGGTGCTGCTGGCTGAACCCTGGGCTGGCCTCGACCTGCCCTCGACCTGGCCTGGCCTGCTCCACTTTTGGTGCGCTGCTTTTTTTTGAGCGAGGCTTGCTTGGCATGGGGCTCGAACCCCTGCCGCCCGCCGCCCAGCCCAGGCGCGCCCGGAAATTTTCTTCTTGGCCAGCGAGCGAGCGAGTGCCTCTGAGCCAGCAGCACAGCCAAGAGCCTCTCGGCACCATCCAACACCCGCTACCATCAACCTCCCCTCGCCAGCATTGGACCCGAAACCACGTCTCCACCGCGACCGACCACTGTGCATCGCCGCCAGCTATACAGCCTACCCATTCGAGCAAACCGTTGCGCAACTCGCACCATGGCGCAGGGAGCCGCCTCTTCGTCTCGCCCCGCCTCGGCAGCGGCGGCAAACAACACTTCCAAGTCCAAGGCAAAGATGACGATGCGGGCCGGGCACGCCACCACCGCTTCCACATCCCGCACTGGCAAGCCCGCTCAGTCTGGAAAGCCAGGCCGGCGCAACCAGGCACAACCCGACACCGACGACGAGAGCGACCTCGACCAGATTGACGACGATGACGATCTCGACCTCGAAGACGACGCCGACGACGCAGAGCCCAACACCGACGACGAGATCGAAGCCAGCAAGGCGGCCGCCGGCGGAAAGAGCAAAAAGACTGCCAGTGAGTAGCCAGCGGCCCATTAGAAGCGCCACTGCAATCGTCCGTCGCACGCTGGACTCCTGCTCACCTACTGAACTCCACCCTTCCATTCTCGCTTGCCAACCTTATCCACAGAGCGAAAGCGGAGGGCCACGTCGCCCACCTCGTTCGGTCTGGCGCTAGAGGGTCTGCTGGGCGCAGCACCCGCATCATCGGACGACGAAGACGCCGCCGCCCAGGGCGCCGACGACGACGCCGACGACCACGAGGCGACCGACAAGCCGGCCAAGAAGCGCAAGGCGGCCGGCCCCTCGGCGTCGTCGTCGCAGCCCGCGGCGATCCTGTCGCTTGCGCCGCACCTGCGACGATCCGCGCAGTCGGTGCAGCTGAGCGCCCGGGCGTCGAGGATCGCCATCGAGGAGAGGAGGGCAAGAGAGGAGCGCGCGCGCGTAAAGGACGTCATCGGCGGGTGGGGCCCGCCGGGCGTGCTGCCGGCCATCGAGCTGCCCGGTGCCGACGGTGCGGCGGTCAAGAAGGACGACGATGACGAGGACAAGATGGGCGAGTGGGCGCTCCAGGGCGGCAGCGCGGGCTACGAGAGGCGGTTGCGAAAAGTGGCCCAGCGAGGCGGTGAGTGGGCGTCGAGGACGAGGCTGCAGCCCAGCGCACGTTTCCCCATCTGGCCAAGCACACGGCAAACTGACTCCCCCCTTGGCATCCCCCCTTCTCTCTCGCCGTCTGTCTGCTGACGCCTGCGACGGCTAGTGGTGAAGCTGTTCAACGCGATCCGGGCTGCGCAGACGACGACCAAGGACGACCTCGAGGAAGCCGAGGAGCAGGCGGCGGGCGGGCCCAAAATCTCCGGTGGCGCCAAAAAGGCCAACGCGCTGGGCGGCAAGGAGGCGCGGCTGGCGGACCTGAGCAAGAACAACTTCCTCGACCTGATCCGCAAGGGCACGGGCACGGGCCCGGGCGGCGCGGCAAAGGGCGGCGTGGCGGCCAAGTGAAGGCCTTGTCGGGCGAGGGTGGTGGGGGGTGTGTGACGGTGCGCGAGGGGCGTGAAATGGGACAGCGTGATCTGACGTTTGGCTGTGTTGACAACGACGATTGCGGGTGGGTCGATGCGCGACGGTGAAGGTCGTCGTCGTCATCGATGAGCGAGGTGGGGTAGAGGGGGAGCAGGAATGCATCGTATCTTTGTTGCGCCTGCCGCGGCAAGCGTGCAAGCGACGGCAGAAACGGCCGAGGCGGGCGGGGCGGCAGGCGGCAGGCCGGGACAACGTGGGCCCAGATGCGAGGCGGAGCGAAGCGAGGCGAGATGGTGAGGCCGGCGGTGGTACCGGTGGCTAGGCCGGGGTGCTGCGCCGTCCATCTGGCTCGGAAGGGCTTGAGAAGAACCGAGGTTGAGGCTGGGTGGCAGCTGCTGGTTGGCGTCGATGCCGGTGTCGATGTCGGTGTACGTCGATGTCGACGCGGGGACTGCGAGTGGCCGTGCGTGGGGGCGGGGGGGTCAGAAGACTCTCTGTGGCCTGGCCAAAGCGATGGCAGGGACCAGAACGACACACGCGAAAAAACAAAACCAAAAATTGGTGGCTGATGGGGTTTTGGACATCCGCCAACGGGCGTTCCGTCATTGCGCTTCTTGGTCGACCCTCTGGCTGGCCTCGTATCATCTCGTATCGCGCGCAGGCGTACCAGCGTGGGGGAGATCCGAGGCCAGACCAGGGCAGGCCAGGCAAGACTCTCACTCTACCTCGTAGGCCACGGCGACGAGGTCTTGGAGCCGGGTTCGGCATGTTGCAGCTGGCAAGGCATGGCATGGCACGGCGTCGATTGAAATGCGCCAAGAAGCAAAGGCAGGCAGACAGGGCGTCGAGGCTGATGCAGGGGACCTTGGCCCCGCCCAGCTGCCAGCTGCGAGCTGCCAGCCGCCTGGCGGTCCTCCTCTCAAGCAGGCTCGAGCAGGTCAGAGCGCGCAGCCCTTGCGCTGGCCTTTGAGCTGCCTCGCTCCCCGGGTCCTGTCCTGTCCGCCTTGCCCCTCGCCGTCGTCGTCACCACCGCTGCTGCTGCTGCCACCATCACCACCATCACCCCTGACCCTGCGCCGTGTCTCTCTCCCTTCCTACGCCCGCACAATCGGGCCAAACACGGACGCTCCCGCAGCCACACGCTGTCCGATACCCCGCCCCAGGGCAACCCCAGCCAGCACACGCTGCGACACCACCATCACCCATCGGCGACCAAACGCCCCGCTCCTCGGCCGCGCCACGCAGCAGCCTAGACGCACACACCACCTCGACCGCTCACACCATCCGCACCTCGCACCATTCTCAGCCCTTCATCGTCAATAGCCACTAGCCGAGCCACTCACCCCGTCCACCTCGGCCACCGGCCATCCCACATCCTCGTCTGCCTCGGCCGCCATGTCATCCGGCACCTCGTTCGCCGACCTGGTCCACCAGGCTGCCGACGTCGTCAGCCACGCAACCGGCCTCTCGACCGCCTACGAAGACGACGGCGCAGGGCCCTTTGCGCACCAGCAAGACAACGCACAACCTCACTCCCAGTCGGACCAGGACAAGGCCAACCACGCACACGACACCGCCAACGCACACGACCCAGCCCACTCGAGCCCAGACGAGGCCCAACAGAGCCGCACCTCTTGGCTCGCCGGCCTCATCAGGCGTCAGGCACCCGGCAACCATCCAGACGACCCCGGGGCACACGTCAATCACCCCGGCGCCTACGACAGCACCCACGCCTCCTCATCCCCACCACGCAGCCATGCAGGCGAACAGCACGACGGCTCCGACCATGAACAGCACGACGTCGCCGCTCGCAAGCGCGCCGCCCACCAAAAGCCGGGCCAGCCAGAGACAATGCAGGGCCTCGACAAGATCGACAAGGCCCTCGGCGTAGGCGGGCCCGTAGGCAACAAGCTCGGCGCACAGTACGACGACTCGATCCGCCACCACGGCGACGGGCCCGCTATCGACGCAGAGAAGCAAACCAAGCCCGTCGGAGGCGGCGCAACCGTCGGCGAACCCATCTTTTCCGAGCGCAACCAACGCGCGGCAGAGGACAAGCACAACGTCCCCGCCGGCGTCGACGCCAGCTCAAAGGCGAGCCTCTCCGACCCAAAGGACCACGGTACCGGCGGCAACATCCAGCCAGAGTCGGCGGACCGCGCCGCCAACCGCGGGCCCAGCTGGGCATCGAGGCCAAACGACGAGCAGCGCGAAAAGATCCGCAAGCTCAAGGCCGAGGCCGCCGCCGGCTTCCCCAACCGATCCACGCCCTCCACCTCGGTGCCTCAGACGCCCTCAAAGGGGCCCGACCGCCAAAAGTCGTCGGACGGCATCCTCGGCGGCCTCTTTGAAGGCTCCGGCAGCCGGCCTGGCCTGAGCCTGTTTGGCGGCGCCGGAGGTGTCGGATCGCAGAGGCAGAAACGCTCCGCCAGCGCCGCGTCGTCCGATAAGGCCAAGGGCGAGGACGACAAGCCGCCGCAGCCCACCCGGTCCGGATCGCACTGGGCCGAGAACTCGCGGCGGTTGCGCGGCGCCTTCGAGACGCCCATGGAGGAAGGCGAAGAGGGAACTGGCGCCGGCGGCGCCTCGGGATCGCACCTCGGCCTCTCGCAGGTCCACCAGAGCCCGATGCACGAGTCCGAGGGTGGTGGCGGCGGCGGCGGCGGCGGCATATTTGGTGGTGCTGGTGCTGGTGCAGGCGCTGGTGCCGGCGGCGGAACGCCTGGCACGCCGACAACGCAAAAGATGCGGGCCATCAGCAAGATCATGCTCGGAGGCGGGCAGAAGACGGGTTCGGGAGACGACAAGGAGGGCGGTCCCAGCGGTGCCGGTGGCGAACCGGCGCGGCAGGGCAGCGGCAGTCGCGACGACTCGGCGACGACGCCGAGCGGCCAGGCGCAGAACCGGTGGGCGCAGCTCAAGAAGATGGTGCGCGAAAAGGCCAAAAAGGAGGAGCTCAAGAACCAGGCGGCCCAGATGGACCTGGCCAAGGAGCTCCAGACCGGCATCCTGCCCGTCTTTCTGTTGAAGATGGCCATCGAGCGCGACGAGCAAAAGCACCGCCGGATCCCCGTGCTGCTCAACCACCTCAAGCTGCGCGTCACCGACAGCGTCAACCCGCTCCACAGCACCCACGCCGTCTTCCGCATCGAGCTCGAGTACGGCAACGGCCTCGTCAAGTGGGTCGTCTACCGCGAGCTGCGCGACTTCATCAACCTCCACGCCCACTACCGCGCCTCGGCGCTGCGCGGCTACCTCGGCCGCTCGATTGGCAACGCCGAGGGCGACTTTGGCCTGCCCAGCTTCCCAAAGATGAGCATCCCCTACCTCAACCAGCTGCAGCGCCAGGGCCGCGTGGCCAAGGCCGACTTTGCGCGTGCCCAGCGCGACGCCCTCGAAAACTACATCATCGAGCTCATCCGCCGCACCATGTTCCGCGCCGAGGCCAACCGCCTGTGCAAGTTCTTCGAGATCTCGGCGCTCTCGGTCTCGCTGGCGTCGCGCGGCGGCCACCAGGGCAAGCAAGGCTACCTGCGCATCCTCTCCAAGTCGTCGCGCAAAAATGACCAGAAAAACATCCTGACGCCGGCGCGCTGGGCCAAGTCCAAGGAGCCCAAGTGGTTCATTGTCCGCGAGAGTTTCATCGCCATCGTCAATCAGCCCGACACGCTCCAGATCTACGACGTCTTCCTGATGGACAACGACTTCGTCATTGAGCGGCCCAAGCGGCTCTACAAGCAGACGATGCACCTCGCCCACGGCCTCACGCACAGCGACGACAAGGAGCAGCGCGCCATCGACAGCTCCGAGCAGACGGGCGATCCGGGCGACGTGGCCGCCGCCGAGAAGCAGGGCTCCTACGACCGCACCGCCCTGCTGACCGAGGGACAGTTCGCCGACCCGGAAAGGAAGAAGCAGGGCGACAAGGGCGGCGGCGGCGGCAAAGGCGGCGGCGCCGACGCCGACAAGGCCGACCCCAACCGCCACGTGAGCAGCCACACGTTCTACATCCGCAACGCCGAGCGCAAGCTCAAGCTCGTCGCGCGCAACGAGCGCGTCATGGACCAGTTCATCGCGTCGATGGAGAAGATGGCCAGGCGCAACATCTTTAGCGGCAGCAACCGCTTCGAGAGCTTCGCGCCCATCCGCCTCAACGCCAGCGCCCAGTGGCTCGTCGACGGCCGCGACTACTATTGGAACTTGAGCAAGGCGCTTTTGATGGCCAAGGACCGCATCTTCATCCACGACTGGTGGCTCTCGCCCGAGCTCTACCTCCGCCGCCCCGGCCAGCCGAAGTGGCGGCTCGACAACATCCTCAAGAAAAAGGCCGAGGAGGGCGTCAAGGTGTTTGTCATCATCTACAACGAGGTGTCCAACAACTTTACGCCCACCGACAGCAACTATACCAAGCAGCGGCTCGTCAACCTCCACCACAACATCTTTGTCCAGCGCTCGCCGAGCCACTTCCAGACGGGCACCTTCTACTGGGCGCACCACGAGAAGCTGTGCGTCATCGACGAGACGATCGCCTTTATGGGCGGCCTCGACCTCTGCTTTGGCCGCTACGACACGCCCGCCCACACGCTCGTCGACGACGTCTACCACGAGGTCAACGACCACGGCGACGCCGTCGCCGACTCGCACCCGGAGCTCCTCGGTCCGGCGCGCGACGGCAAGGAGGCCCACGTCTGGCCGGGTCAGGACTACGCAAACGAGCGCGTCATGGAGTGGCACACGCTCAGCAAGCCGCACGAGGACCTCATCCCGCGCGACAAGTTCCCGCGGATGCCGTGGCACGACGTCGGCCTCCAGCTCGTGGGCCAGCCGGCGCGCGACCTGTGCCGCCATTTCACGCAGCGCTGGAACTTCCTGCTGCGCATCAAGAAGCACACGCGCGTGATGCCCTTCCTGGTGCCGCCGCCCGACTTTACGGCCGAGGAGCTGAAAAAGTACGGCCTGACGGGCAGCTGCGAGGTCCAGATCTGCCGCTCGGCGGGGCCGTGGAGCCTGGGCACGGCGAGCAAGGTCGAGCACTCGATCCAGAATGCCTACCTCAAGTCGATCCAGATGAGCGACCACTTTGTCTACATCGAGAACCAGTTCTTCATCTCGTCGACCGTGGCCGAGGGCACGCGCATCGAGAACCAGATCGGCGAGGCGCTCGTCAGCCGCATCATCCGCGCCCACCGCGAGGGCACGCCGTGGCGCGCCATTGTCGTCATCCCGCTCATCCCCGGCTTCCCCATGCCCATCGACCACCCGGACGCCTCGTCGGTGCGCCTCATCGTCGAGCTCCAGAACCGCTCGATTTCGCGCGGCGAGCACTCGATCTTTGGCAAGCTGCGGCGCGAAGGCATCAACCCGGAGGACTACATCAGCTTCTTTTCGCTGCGCAACTGGGGCAAGCTGCGCGGCGGCCAGCTGACGACCGAGCAGATCTACCTCCACGACAAGATCATGATCGTCGACGACCGGCTCGCCATCATCGGCTCGGCCAACATCAACGAGCGCAGCCAGCGCGGCGACCGCGACTCGGAGCTGGCCTGCGTCATCCGCGACTACGACATGCTCGACTCGACCATGGCCGGCGAGCCGTACAAGGTGGGCCGCTTCGCCCACACGCTGCGCGTCCACCTGATGCGCGAGCACCTCGGCGTCGACGTCGACGAGCTCGACGCCGAGGGCAGCCGCGACGCGCCCGTCGAGACGGTGCCCAACGGCAACTCGTCGATGTACGACGACCAGGGCTGGGTCGACAGCTCCGAGGTCGACTCGCAGCTCGTCGACTCGGACGAAGAGTGGGACCCGGACAACGAGCAGACGCACAACGGCCACGGCGGCGCCACGGCCGACGCCGAGGGCGAGGGCGTCACCGAGGTGCGCCGGCGCCACCCGCGCCGCATCTGGAAGCGGACCGCCGCCGAGTTTGCCAACCACGTCGGGCCGGGCGCCGCCAAGGAGGTGGGCAACCGCGTCAAGAGCGTCGTCAAGCGCGACGACGAGGGCGACGACGCGGGCGCCGCCGAGCACCACGCATCGGAGCTCTTTGCCGGCGACGAGGGTTCGCACGACTCGCCCAACGCCAACGAGCGCCACGCTGCGGCGCGCGACGAGCGCGTCGACAACGTCATCGCTGGCGGCGGCAGCGGCATGACGTCGGACGGCAAGTACGACAGCACGCGCGAGGGCACCATCGAGGAGAAGATGCTGGCGCAGGACCAGCAGCAGCGCAGCAGCACCAGCACCGGCACCGGCACCAGCACCAACAGGCAGACGGACCGCCTCGGTAGCGAGGCGCCGCCAGACCGCCGGCGCGGCAGCATGAGCTCGCGGCGCGGCGACTACGTGGGCAGCGCTGGCCTGCGCAAGTCGGCGTCGACGTTTGAGTCCAACGACGACCTGGCCAACGGCACGCTGCGGCCGCCGTCGCAGGCCACGACGCGCTCGCGGCGGCAGAGCGAGGCGACGTCGATCTCGCCCGAGGACCTCAAGCGCAAGATGTCGACGCGCATGTCCAACAACCCCTGGGCGCCGCCGGTCGACGCGCCCGAGATTGACCCGGACAATTTCGAGGACCCGCTGATTGACAGCTTCTACCACGACTACTGGCTCAAGAGCGCCGTGCACAACACGCAGATCTACCGCAAGGTGTTCAAGTGCGTGCCGGACGACACGGTGGGCACGTGGGGCGAGTACAAGGCGTACTCGGCGTGGTCGGAGCGGCTGGCCAAGAGCGGCAAGTTTGGCGCAAAGGAAAACCGCGGCGAGCGCGACGCGCAGGCGCACAGCGTGCCCGGCGCGAGCGTCGGCGGGCCCGTGGGGCAGGTTGCCCCGGCGTCGCTCGCCAAAGACGGCAAGGCGGCGGCGAGTTCGTCGGTCAACGGCAACGGCAACGGCGGCGCCGACGACAAGGCCAGCAGCAGCGAGGGCGGTGGTGGTGGTGGTGCCGACGATGGGTTGACGCCGAGCCGGTCCAAGGCGAGCGTGTCGACGTCGAGCCATGCCGCCGATGCTGCGCAACAGTCGTCGTCGTCGTCGTCGTCGATTGGCGGTGGCGGAGGAGGACACGGGCAGCAAGCGTCGCAGGCCGGCGGTAGGACGTCGCAGCCCAAGCCTCCGCAGCAGCCGCAGCAGCAGCCTGTGCCGCCATCATCAGCGTCGCAGCCGGGCTTTTCCGACGGCGAGCTCGAGCAGATGGAGGCGCTGCTGATGGAGACGCGCGGCACCCTCGTCATGCACCCGACGCGCTTCCTCGAGGCCGAAGACATGTCCAACAACTTTGTGAGTCGAGTCGAGTCGAGTCGAGTCGGAACCGAGGGCGTCGGCCCGGTGCTCGTCGTATGGCTGGCTGGCTGACCGCGTCTTTTCCTCGTTCTTTGCTTGGGTCGCTCGTCGCCCGTCGCACGTCGCTCGTCGCCGCTGCTTCTGCCGCTGCGCACAGCTGTTTGCCATGGACCGCATCAACCCGCTTCTCATCTACGACTAGCCGTGCCTTGCCGTGCCGTGCCGTGCCGTGCCGTGCTTGGCCGGCGTGCTCGTCGATGCAACCCTCGCCTCGTTTGGCCGTCCATCCCCGCCGCGTCTCGTCGCCAAGGCAGCATTAGAACCGCCCCGCCCGCTCCCGTCTTTCAACCCATTTCCCACTCCCCTTGATGTGTGCGTGCGTGCGTGCGTGCGTGCGTGCGAGCTGCGTTGCGGGGTTAGACGACCCGATTTCCTTCTCATTCTTGCGCCCCCTCAATCGGAGGGGAGGGCATGTAACCTAACAAACATGGCGCAGACGGATCGGTAGGCGCGCGTATCGGCGGAACGGACGAGGTTGGCGGCGTCGACGTTGAGGGGCGAGTCGGGTTCGGGGGCGTCGAGGAGGGCGAGGATGGCGGTGCACACGGCCGAGAGGGTCCAGGCGGGCGTCCAGCTGTTGGTCGAGAGGACGTCTAGGCATATCTCGCCCGTCTTGAAGTGGACGTTGGGGTGGAAGATGGGGGTTTGGAATTTGACAATGGGTGGTTTGGTCGGGTACGAGGGTGGGATGGTCAGTGTCAGGTTGAAGATGCCTCCTGCCGCGTTGTCCGTTGTTGTGTTTCGAGAAAGGGGGAGGGAAGAAGGGGCGTTAGGCTGTGTCCGCCAAGAGGAAGAAGGTAGGGGGGTCCGCGGGGACGTGCGTACCCTGATAAGCGCCGTGGGTGGGTGCACGGATACATGCGGTCCACTCGGACAGATCCTCGAGGTCGCTATCGTACGGCCGCAGTTCGAGCAGGTCCGGATTCGACGGCGCCCCACTGCCCAGATCGCGCTGCACGCTCTGGTGCTCCTTGAGCAGCCGCTTGAGGTTCGGCGTCGTCGCCATCCTCGCCGTTCGGTTCGCCCCTCCCTCGTGCCTGCGTGTCCCGTATCCGTTTCCGTATCCGTGTCCGTCGTATCCGTATCCGTATCCGTATCCGTGTAGTGACGTCGCGTCCGAGTCGGTTCGGAGGTTTGAGAATGGATGGATTGAGATGCAAGGGTGAGAGGCAGGGTGATGGTGGTGTGTGCGCGAGGGAGGCAGGCGGCACGACGAGCTGCAAAAGCCCGGGCTAGGCTGGCTGGCTGGCCTGGCATCTGGACTTCAACCCTCTCCCGCGCCCGCCTCGTCCCCCCGCATTTTTCAATTCACGCGGCGGCTGCCTCCCCCTCGAGCTCGCTCGCTCAACCTCGGACCTCGGCTTCTTTTTCAAGGCCGGCCAGAACGCAACGGGCACCGGCAATTTACCGGCCACGCTGGCCAGGCCCAGTCGCAGCACCGCCCGCCGGCGACGTCCGCTCGCTCCTTGCTCGCCCGCCGACTCCCACACCCCTCGCACACCACTCGACGGATCGCCTCGCCTCGCCTCATTCACGACTGGATGGCAATGAGATGGTCTTGCGAGTGCATGCATGCAGACTAGAACGAGCGAGCGAGCGTGCGAGCGAGCGAAACGAAGGAAGGAAGGAAGGAGGAGGAGGAGGTGAGGGGGGTACATACACCACCGCCGCCACCGCCAACACCACCGACACCGTCGACCAGGCCGATATCGCCACCGACCGGCTACGACTTGTTCGACCGCCCAAAGCCAAACGTGCGGCTCAGCGACCGCGTCGAGAGGCTCGCCTTGCGCGTCGGGTGGCCGCCCACGCGCTCCCGGTCGCCCGCAGACGAGCTCGACGCCGGCGTCGCCGCCTCGTCGGGCGTCGCTGCCGCATCGGTGAATGGCGAGCCCGCCCCCCCTCCGCTCGCATGGCTGTTGCTGCCGCCGCCGCCGCTGCCGCCAAACAGGTTGGAAAACATGCCCCCCGCCCGACTTGGACGGCGACATGGCCGACGACGAGTGCGGCGTCCCTGCGCCTCCAACGCTCCCGCCGCCGCCGTGCACGTGGTGCTCGCCTCCGCCCACCGTCGCGGCGTGCGCCAGCGAGCTGCCCCCGCCAAAGCCCGGTATGCTCATGCTGCCCAGCCCCAGCCCGCTGCTGCCTCGCCGGCTGTTGCGCGCAATGGCCTTCTGCTCCTTTTTCGAAATCGGGCGCTCCGCGGGCGCAAACGCGGCCCCGGCAGCGACAAGAGGCTGCACCTGCGCCTGCGTCTGCGACAGTCGCCGCGACTCGACCGCACCGCCCTGCTTCAGCGGCGATGGGTAGGGAGCCGTATCGGCCCTCGGCGTCGTGGCGTCTGCAGACGGCACCGCGCCCGTCGGTGGCAGCCTCGGATCCCGTTCGCTCGCTGGCAGCGCCGCCGGCTCTTCCATCAACGGAGAGCTGGTGAGCGCCGTACCCGCGCCAAACATGTGCCCGCCGATCGGCGACGACGCGACGGCGGCGTGCGACACCATGCTCTCCGAGGCGGCGCGCGTCCGCCGATCGCGGTTCATCTGCGCTCGCGCCATGTTCTCGTCCCGCTGCAGGCGCTGCTCGTGCGCCCTCGCCTGCGCGTGCTGCACCGCAGCAGCATCCGGGCTCTGCTCTGCTGGCGCCGCCGCGAACCCGGAACCGGCCGATCCCGACGTGGGGAACGCCGTCTGCCCCTGAGCACCGGCCGATGCGGGCTCCTCGGTCGTCGGCGACAGCGGCTCGGGCTGGTACGGCACGCTGGCCAGGCTGCTGAGCGTCCCCGTCGAGGTCGTCATCGTGTCCGGCGTGGCCGACTCGCGCGGGAGCGAGTAGTTGCGCGGCGTCGGAGCCGTCGACCCGCTGGCACTGCTCGCGGCGGCATCGACGGCAGGTTCGGCGTGCCCCTGATGGTGGCTGGCAGTCGGCATGCTGCCGAACGCCTCGACCGCCGAGGCCGTCTTTGGTCTCCGCTGCGACTGGCTGCCGGACCTTCCGCTCCGGTTCCGCAGCGAGCCAAACCAACCTCCGCCGCTTCCGTTGGCGCTCGACGCATCCACGTTTCCGGACGACGGGTCGCCTCCGTTGACCGCCGTGCCGGCGCTGGCGAGGCCGGCCGGATAAGAAAGGGACGTGCCGGGGGGCGCGGGGGCCGACGCGAGCCGAAAGTGGCGGTTGCCAGACGTCGAAGGCACGCCGCCAGCGACTTCGGGCACCGTCGACAGCCCGCTGCTGCCATTGCCGCCTTCTTCCCGGAACTGCCAGCGTGCGTCATCGCCGCGAGCGGCAGCCGCGCTTCCGCCGGCCCGATCTGCCGAGCCTCGAAGCGCCCTGTCCAGGCCGAGGCTCTCAAAGTCGAGGTCGACGGCCTGGTAGAAGAGCACATAGGCGCTCCCGATGCCCGGCCGGTCGCCGTAGTACTTGGAGATCTCGCACTCGTCGATGTAGCTCACGTTGTCGTCGTCAAAGAGCACCCAGCGCTCGCCCACCTTGACGATGGCGATGTAGTGTCCGTGGTGCGGGCCGGCACCGATGTGGACGACGATGGCAAACAGCTCGTAGAGCCGATCCGGGTCCTCTGCGTCGTCCGAGGTGTTGAAGAGGCGCAGCTCCAGCGGGAACGCGACGCGGTAGGCCAGCTTGACGTAGCGCTGGATCGACTCCTCGTACTTGAACCGCTTCAGGTGGAGCGCGAGCACATTGGGCAGCTTGCGGATCTTCATGCGCTTCTCGGCCTCTTGCAGCCCCGAGCACGAGTCGCAGAAGAACTTGTTGCGCGACCGCAGCATCTCGGAGGCCGAAAACTGGCGCAGGCACGATGAGACCGACGTGTTCTGCTCAATGTCGATCGACAGGTCAAGAAAGGCTTCGTCGCGGGACGTGACCTGTGCGTCCGGGCAGAGGCAAGACACAGGCAAAGGATGATAGGTGGTGCGATGGTCAGCGTCCGTAGCTAGCGACCGCATCGTCCCCTTCTCATCGCCACACTACTCACCGTCTCGCACGTCAGGCACCTCGTCTCGTTGGTCAGGACGCCTTCAAAGAGGCGGTGCACGCACGTCGAGCCGTTGGATCCCACCGCGCGGACCAGGTCCTGCAGGCCGCGACGCTCCGCCGCCTGCAGATCGGAGTCGAGCTGCTGCTGCTGCTTGCCTGCAGCACGGCGGGCGCGGTCCGCGTCGACGAGGTCCTCGCCGACCTTGTTGAGCACAAAGTTGAGCATCTCGTGGGCGTCCTGGTGCATCGTGCTGTCAAACAGGACATTCTCGCGCTTCAGCACGCCGATGAAGGCCTTGACCGCCGCTGAGTCGACGGCAAAGCCAGTGGCAGCGCCGTTGCCGTTGGCGTTGCCACTGGCGCTGGCCGTCGAGATCGACAGCGTCGGTTGGCCCTGGGCCGTCGCAGAACTGGGTGCGATGTTCATGGCGTTGACCAAAGTCGAGCTGATGCCATTCGCCGATCCGGTGCCCGCCGTGCCATTGGCGCCGGCGCTGGCAGAGTGGTTGCCGATCCCGCCCCGGCCGCTCGTCGCGCCGGCGGTCGAGGGCCTCCCCAGGGCGGAAGCTCTGCGCATCATGCCCGATGCGCCCGAGCTTGTACCCGTCGCGCTCGAGGACGGCGACATTGCCGAGGGGCTCGTCAGCGAGCCGACGGGAAAGGTGCTGCTGGTTGGAGTGAGTGCCGAGGCGACGGATGCCGAGTCCGCCGGGCGAGGGGCCTGGGCGATGATGTCGAACAGATCCCGCAGCGCTGCAAAGAGCGTGTCGGACGGCGGTATCCCCTCGAGGGCCAGCGGATCGAGCTCCGCGTCGGCCGCTGCATCCGTGGAAGACGGGCCTTGCTGGCCGTTGATGTCGACCGGCCCCGAGGGCGTGCGCGCCGATGCCGACAGTGCTTCCGATCCGTCGCCGGATGTGCGCAGGGGCGGTTGATAGCTCAGCAGCGACTCTCTGAAGGGCCGGCAAAAGTAGAGCGACTGCAGCATCGAGTTGACATAGCTGTAGCGTGAAGTTTCAGGGCGAGTACAGCAGCGCAGCGCGGTCAGCATCGACATTGGACCAGTTTCTCTCGATCCAGCAGCCTTCGGGAGGCTCACCATGTGTTTCCAAACTGTCGGACCAGAGCGCCGAAGGAGAAGAGGAAGCGTTCGAGAGAGTGGTCGGTCGCAGTCGATGGGGCGGCGACGAATGTCAGGACTCGATATCGCCGACAACCTCTATCCGTGGCGAGGCCTTCGGGCCACTCACGTTTTCCATTCCCAGCAAGGGCCCACCTCCTTCGACAGAGTTGACTGGGATCTCTGTGGGCTTCTTTGGCTGCACGGCGCCCAGGCTGCCGACGCCGCCGGAGCTGCCGAGCGAGGTGGACGTGGCGGGCATACCGCCAAAGAACGAGACGGGTGCGGGGCTGCTGTGGTTGAGCGAGTAGGGGTTGGCGTTGAAGGTGGGCTTGTTGGACCCGGGCAGCGAAGGTATAGAAGCCGCCACTGCACCGCCGTAGGCACCTATGCTGGTGGCAGCCGCCCCGCTGGAGCTCGAGGCGTGTGCGGGTGCGGCGGCATGGTTGTAGGTCTTGGCGGGGCCGGAGCCGGACGCCGACGAGGCCAGGGTGGTGGCGGTTGAGGCTGCCGAGGGCTGGGAAGCGCTCGAGGATGAGGAGGGAGAGTTGCTGGAGGCGCTCTGGGACGAGTTTACGCCGAGGAGACCCTTCCAGCTGAAGGACATGGCGAGACGGAGCGCGGCCCAGGGCGTTCCCGGAGCGATGGCGGCCGGGGAGCGATGTGAAGCTGGTGCCGGCGATTGGAAGGCGAGGCTGGCTGGCGATGCAGATCTAGACAGCAGTGGAGATGGGATGGTGCGGGAAGAGACGGAGCAGCGAGAGCGCAGCGAATGTTGGAGTCCGAGGCCTGGTGTCTAGGGCATGGGTCAGGCTTGACCGTCGTGATGGCAGCGGCTAAGGTGATCGAGGCGACAAGCGAAGGTGGCGTCGGAACTGCTGTGGGCTTGAACGGATGGCCAGAGGGCAGCAGTCCAAGAGAACGAGAGGAACGCCGACGGTCGGGATGCGAGAGAGTCTAGAAGGAGCAAGGCATGCGATGCGAGAGGACGAGCGAAGGAGGAAGGTCGACGAGCTTGTCCCGATGGAATGGCGGCGGCGGCGGCGGCGGTGGTGGAGATGCGGGTCGGGATGCGTTGCGGGGTCGACGGTGGACGATGTGTTGCTTGGACAGTGTGTGTGAGGAAGAGAGAGTGAGAGCGAGAGCGAGAGCGAGAGGGGGGGATAGAGCGGGGTGCGGGCCGGGGTGGGCAGCGCAGGCTGTCTGTGCGCGTGGCGGGCGGGCGAGGGATGCGAGGCGAGGCGTGGCAACGTGGTAACTTGCCGCGAGATGAGACGAGAACGAGGGCGAGCGAGAGGGCGAGGGCGAGAGTGAGAGCGAGAGCGAGGACCCTGCCGGGGGATGGTTTGCTTGCTTTGCTTGCAGCCTGCGTTGGAGCGAGCTGCCAAAGAGAGGGCGAGGCAGGCAAGAGGAGAGAGAGCGACAAGGCTGAGCAAGCCAGGCAGAGCCAGGGCGGCCAAGGAAGGCCGGGCGACGACGGCCAGCACGGCGGGATGCGGGGGCAGGCAGGCAAGCCGACGTGGATACGGCGCCACGACCGACGCGGACCTTTCCCTGCGCACCGTGGCCCGGGGACCTGCCTGCCTCTGCCTGGCCTGTCGACCACGCTCTCGCCCCGATAACCGACCGACGACGACGTTCTCGGCCTGCCCGGCCTGGCCTCGCCTTGGGCACACCGGCCCACGCCTCGCTCGCCCCGAAAAAGGGCGTGGGGGGAAAGCAAGCCGAGCCGGGCGTGCGAACCCAGAGCCAGGCCAGGCGGGCAGGCGGGCTCCACCCGGAGCAGCAGGCAGGCGTGGGGGTTGGGTTTGGGTGCGGCAGCAGCAGCAGCGGCAGCATCGACAGCGCTGGCTGGCCTGCCATGCGACGCCATGCCATGCCCTGCCATGCCATGCGGCGAGACCATACGCAAGCAAGCAAGCAAGCGCGGGCCGCTGACCAGCTGCGGCCGTCCCTGCTGCAACGATGCACCACCACATCAGACGGCAGCCGGTCCTGGCAGATACGTAACTACATCGAGGCAGACCCGCCGCAGGCCCGTCGGTCGTGGTGCTGGCCAGCTGGCCGCTTGGCTTGTCAGGGACGAGCCCTCACGCCATCGCGCCCGCCACCCGCTCCCAGGGTCGTTTGCCTCTCGCGCGACACCCCACCCGACCCACCTCGGCATTCAGACCTCACTCTGCTCTAGGTGCTGCTGCATGGGGCAAGGGCATCGTGGCTGGAAGCCGTGGTGAGGATTCGTAAAGGAGCGTAAGGAAGGGCAGATGATCGAGCAACGTGGGCAAAGCAGAGCAGGGCAGAGCGAGAGCGAGACGGCATCGAGGGCAGCAGATCCCCTTCCCCCCGTTCCCCGTCTCTCTTTCCATGGAGGGGAAAAGAGAGCGCGGAAAAAGGAGAAGGGTTTCGCGCGGTGATGGTCCCTTACCATGACGAGATGAGCGGGGGCTAGACGAGGTGACGGGAGTGGATAGAGAGGACAAGAGAGGGACGGAGGGACAACGACGACAATCTACCGATCAAACGCCAGTTCAACTTGCCAGGTCGACTCGGCCCGCCCGCCTTCACCCGGGCAGAGGAACGGGTGGCTGCGGCTACCGGCCAGCGCTTCGAGGTCGACGGTGACGATGGCCGTCTCCCAGCCCGCCTCGGCATCGCGACGCGGGGGCGGGCAGACGAGACCCTCCTCGACCATGCGCATCTGCACGATGCCCTCGCGCTCCAGCACGTCGAGCTCGTCGACCTTGACGCGGAACGTGCGCAGCCGCTCGGCAGAGGCGCGCACCACGAAGCCCACCAGGCCGGCAAAGAGGAGCTCAATGCTGTATCGCAGCCGTTCCGCATTGGCAGAGTCCACCTCGCTGGCCGCCTCAGCACCGGCCTCGGACTCGACCTCGACCTCAACCTCGTCGCTGGCCAGTGCGGCACCGGCGATGGGCATCTCGAGCATCATGCCCGCCCACGACAACGGGTTGATGGCCGTCTTGAGCGTCGAGAGCGGATGGCGCAGCGTCCTCCGGCCAGCGCCGAGACCCAGCGTGATCAGGGGCAGGTACGCCTCCCGAGCGCCGTCCATGTCGCTGCGGGATCGCGGCACCACCAGCCGCCCGACCCCGGATCGTAGGCGCAGCAGGGCGCCAGTCAGAACTCCGTGCCGCGGAAGCTGGTCGCTGCCCGCGGCGCTCACGTCGGCCCCGGAGGCAGGCCGCCTGCGCGTGGTCGACTTGCCGCTTCCCAGGCCGAACAGGAGCGTCTGGAACATGGTGTTGATGCCGAGCAGCAGCATGATGCGCACCGCGTCCCACCTCGACTGGCCCAGGGCGAGCACCTTGGAGAGCGGCGGCTGTTCGTCTGAGCCCTGCGTCGACGTCGTGGCGATCGGAGACGCGGCCGGAGCGGCGGCGACGGCGGCGGCGGTGCTGCCCTCTTGGGCCCTTCCGCTGAGCTCGTGGAACATGCCCGGCGCCGCCATGGCATGGATGCCGTTGAACTTGTCGACCAGGCCGAGGCACCCGAGCGAGACCTCGCCGCCCGATCGGAGGGGCGCCACCACGAGGCTGTCGTGTCCGGCACGGGGCAGGCCGACGAGCAGCAGCGGATCGTGCTGCCCTCGAGGATCTTGCAGCTGGGCCTGGCTCAGCACGGCCGTCGCTCCAGTCGATGGGCGATAGATGGCGAGGTCATCGCCGCGACCCACGCCGACCTGCAGTTCCGCCAGCACCGACGGGCTGATGAGGTCAAGCGACTCGGCATCGGCGCCACGAGCGTTCCAGAGACCGATGCTCGCCGCATCTGCCGCAGCGTTCCTCGAGCACAGCTTCAGCGCGGGACCGGGCCCGTCGGCCACGAGCTCCTGGAAGAGGGCGCTCGAGAGGGGTCGGGCTGGCTCGCTCGCCTGCACCGTGCGCAGCTGTCCACGCTTGTCGTGCGCCAGCAGCTTCGACACGCTCGCCTCGCTCGAGGGCGAGGGCGACCAGGGGCCCTCGGAGATCCAAAGCTTGGCGTCCGAGTAGGCGCGGAACGAGGCGTGGTACGACGCCCAGTCCTCGCCGCACGTCGACCGACACTTGGACGAGAACATGTCGGCGTCGGCACGCAGCTCGCCGCCCGCCACCAGCAGCGAGTTGTACGCGTTGTGGACGAGGTGGTGGCGGTGCGCCTCGGGAATGTCGGGGAAGAAGTCGTCGGTGACCCTGAGGCTGGTCGGGGCATCGTGGAGGGCGCCGCCGTTGCTGCCGCCGCCGAGCAGGAGCGTCCTGGCGCTGTTGGTCGTCGCCGAGCTGCCCGACATCGAATGGATGATGCTGCCAGGCCCCATGTAGCGGAGCGCGGCCGCCTGCATGGCCTCAAAGGCCGACTTGGCAGAGACGCCGCACATCTCGCCCTGCTTGTGCGGGACGATCCAGTCCCACTCGGCCTGTGCATCGACCTTGACAAAGTCGATGCCCGCCTGGCGGAGCGCGGCAAAGGTGCGGGACCAGAAGGCGTCGTTGGCGTCGTCGGAGGCGGGCACCAGCCACTTTCGCTGCGCCTCGCGAAAGGGATCGTGGACGTCGACTTCGGCCAGACCGCCCTGGAGCTGAGTCGCAATCTCGCCGCCGGCCTCGAGGCCGTCCCAGTAGCCGGCCAGCGTCATCCAGCAGCCGACGTGCTGCAGCGCGGGGAAGCGGCGCCGCAGATGGGCCACGTAGAGGCCGAGGACCGTCGAGTCCTCGCCCGACGCAGCCGCCGCGCGAGCCTCGTCGACGTCGAGCATCTCGGCGGCCATCCTGCCGCTCTTGAGGCTGCCGCGGTGGGAGCGGTCGTCGGAGTGGTAGGCGACATCCTGCCAGCCGTCGTCGATCAGCACCGAGGTGATGCAGCCGGCGCCGAAGCTGGCCTCGAGGTCCTCGATGGCAGTCACGACCTTGGAGAGGAAAGGCCGTCGATCCTCGGTGCCCATGGCCTCCCACGTGCAGAACCCCAGCCCTGTCTTTGGATCCAGCGGTCTCGAGCCTGCAAAGCGCGAGTGACCCTCTCCGTCACCCCGTAGGACGGCGGAGGCATCTACGCGCAGGCCCATCGCGGACTCGTAGGTCGGCGGCAGGGAGTCAAAGGACTCTTGGGTCAGGTTCGAGGCGACCGAGCTGGACGCCGGCAGCCCGGCCGACGCACCTTCGGACGACTCGTCGGACGAAGACGACGACGTCGATCCTGCTTCGGTGTCGAGGGACGCGGCGCTGGCCGAGGTGAGGATGGAAGAGTAGCCGCCGTCGCGGCCGAGCAGCACCGACACGTCTTTGCGCTCGTCCTGCGCGTGGACCGACTCCTGGCTGAGGATCCGGGCGGCGCGTCGGCACGCCTCCATGACTTCGACAGCGCAGGCCCGAGGTCCAGTCGCGAAAGCCACCTTGGCGGTCCCGTCGGAGCGCCGCGTCGCGCGGCAGCAGAGCGAGTACTGGCCATCAGCGGCCGAGGGGTGGCGCGATCGCGTCAAATCCCACAGCCGGTCCGGGTCGCTGATGGCCGGCATGACGGCGAGCACCGCATCGTCGTCTTCGAGGGCAAAGAGGAGGTAGGAGGCGCCAAAATCGGGCGAGACGTGCGACGGATGGGCAAAGGTGCGCGACGTGCACCAGGTCGACTTGGTGCGTTCCTCGACGATGCCCGAGGCGGAGCGGTAGACGGGCTGCAGTGTGGCCAGCGCTGCCTCTGCGCCCCTGTGATCCGACAGCTGTACGTAGGCGGCCGACATCTTGATGGCGTCGCGCCCGCTGCTCGACTGGACGCTGCCATTTGCCTCGACGAGGTCTCGGTACGTGACGCCGTCGGCAAAGGCGAGCACCTGGTCGATGCTCGGGGTGCTCGCGGTGCTGGTGCTGCTGGTGCTGCTTGCAGGCCGCGTGACGAGCTTGATCCTGCCGTCCTGGTGCGGGTAGCTGAGCCACTCCATGCGACCGTCGGGGAACGCGAGGCGGTAGGTGAAGCCGTAGTAGGTCTTGTGGGAGCCGCTCGACGGGCTTGCCGCCGGCTCGGCCTCTGCGCGTGGCACCGTGGTGAGCGTGGTGCAGAAGACGGACCAGGCTGCGTCCGAGAATGGGGCCGGGCCGAGGTCGTAGGCTCTCCAAGCCTGCTTGCCGCCATCGGCGTCTTGGCCCTCGACTGGCGAAGCATCGTCAAGCACGGGCACGGCGGGAGAGGCCGACCCGTCGGTATCGGGGCGTGCCGACGACGACGGGGTGCCGCTGCCCCCGACCGAGTCGGCGGTGCTGGCGTCGACGAGGGGCAGGTTGGTCCATAGCTGGATCTTGACGGCGCCGCTGAGGATGTCGGCGGTGTGGCGATGCTGCTGGGTCGATACGTGGGCGGCAAAGGTGAGCGGCGTCGAGTTGCGGGCGTGCGGGTCGAGGCGGTGGGTGGTGGTGGTGTTGAGCTGCGGCTCAAACACGATGTGCGAGGCCATGCTGCTGTGCGCCTGTCTGCTTGCGCTTGCAAGGGATGGCGGGGAGAGGCAGCAGTCCGTAGGTCGGAAGCTGGTGGTGGGTAGGGAAAGACGGACGGAGAGGCCGTAGGCGGGGACAGGGAGGGGGAGGGGGAGGCGTCGGCGGCGAGCCTATGTAGCAGCATGTCTGCTCGCCAGCAGGCTCGACGGAGGAGGCGAGAGCAAACCTCTTCTCGACAATCGTCGCGGCATCGGCGGTACCGCACACTCCTCTGGCTGCGTTTGACGGCTCCATCGCCAGTCCACCATCACAACACCGTTGGCAGGCGGCATCGCATCGCAGCGCAGCGCTTCACACCACAGCACGTCGCACCGCATCGCATCGCATGGCGCCCCGCCTCGCCGGCGTCTCGAGCAAGGTGACACTCTGGCTGTGGCTGCTGACCACGGCGGGCCCCGCACAGGGCGGCAGGCTGAGCAGGCTCGGCCGGGGGAAGAGAGGAAGAGGGAGAGAGAGCGGGGCCAGGCACCGGTGCAGCAGCAGGTCGAGTTCCTCCGCCAAGTGGGGACGGTCAGCATGGCCAATCGGGGGCCCCGGTGTGGTGTTGGGGGACGCGATCGTGCCTATCGATCAAAGAGGCGGAGCAACGGAGCGGCAGCAACGGAGCGGCAGCATGCTTCAGCGCAGGATACGCACGGTGCCTCGTGCCCCCCAGGGTCCTTTGTGCCTGTCCGCCCTGCCCTGCCTGGCCCTGCCCTGCCTCGTCTGGGGAGGGACCGCACGAAGGGGCGCCCGCGCTGTTTGACAAAGAAGCGCAGCGCTGAGCGGGTCGGGAAACCTTCGAAAGAAGCAAACGCAAGGGGCCCTTCTTCACCCGATCGATCCCAGCTCAGCCGACCGCAGGGAACAGCAGCGGCGGCCTAGCCTAGCCCTCGGTTGGCTTGCTTGCTCGCCCGCTCGCCCGGACGACCGCCATATCCAGGCAGGGCCGAGACGGGGAAGCTTGCATGATCTTGGCATGGCAGGAACGGAAGCGGGCCAGACGAGGTCGCGGCGGACCCGTTCGCTGACGACGATGACCGCTGACCGAGTCCGGGCGGCGGGCTGAGATGGGGCTCAGTCTGAAATTCGTCGCGCGTCGCCGCCTGGCGCTGCAACCCTGGAAGACCAACACAACAACACCGACCCACGCTTGCAAAAGCTGATGCGGCGACGAGGAACGACAACGAGCGACGACGAGCGACGATCGCAAGGCCTCTGTTGTCGTCGACGGTGTTGTTGGTCGTCGACGGTGCTGCTGCTGCTGCTGCTGCTGCTGACGCTGATGCTCGATCTGCCATGGCCCATCATGTCGCGGAGCCAGGCAGGCGCCCGTCCATCTGATCGAGATGCGCAGCAGTTCAGCGGCAAATACGTCGGAGTGCCAAGTTCTTCTAGCTCGTTACCGCCTCTCCACTGCTGGATGAACTCCATCCGCCAGCGCTTGGGCACCGCTGTTATGGACCCCGTTCCTTGATGCAGGGTCTACAGCGTATCCCGACGCCTCGCTCCTCCCCTCCAGTAGCCGCCTGCTGTACGTGCGTGTCCTTGACCGACAGTCAGCGAGGCGCGAGCTGTACCATAGCGCGACGGGCTCTTCAGCGGGGCGGCCAGGAGGGGACGAAGGTGGCACCAAGAACTCGTCACGCTACTACTAGTACTACTGTAGCCGATGGATGCTACCTCTGGCGTCGTTCTTTTGTTCCCCTGCTACCGAGTCCACGTTGTCCGCCCGACGCCGCCGCTGCTGCTGTTTACATGCCTCGTCCGGCCAGCCTCTGTCGTCGCTACGGCGGGCAGGCGGGCAGGCGGGCAGGCGGGCAGGCGGGCAGGCGGGCAGGCGGGCA